GCTAAAAGCTAACTATTATTTCAAACTCACTATAAAATGAGAAGTTACTCAAGACAGTTGTGAAATAATATGTAGAGTGCCAGGACACCAGCATTTTCTAGCCATCTCCTATATGAGATGCTTTCGAATATGCTATCCATTGATTACCAGTATATGATAGATGCTCAGTACTATAACTGATTATACAAAGGGGAAAATGGAATATGAAGACATTAAAGCAAACTGCCTAAAGCTGGGCATGGTGGCACACGCCTGTATCCCAGCACTTGGGAGGCTGAGGCAGGAGGATTGCTGAGTTCGTGACCAGCCTGGAGTACATAGTGAGTTCCAGGTTAGTGTCAGATACAGAGCGAGACCTTGCCTCAAAGCAACAACAATAAAAAGTGAACTGCCTGAGATGACAATGGTGTTGTACTGTTATATATCAATACATCCCCAGTGGTATCTCCATTACATTTCCCTCTGAAACTCTAAACCCCTCCATGATACCAGTTATTTCAGTGACTCTGCATAATGTCACTTCTAATAGTTTATAAACATCTCTCTGCCCATAGCCTCAGTTGAGCCTCACAAAAATGAAATGAGGTAGACAGGCAAGTAAATATTGCACAGACTGAGCTACTTGATTATGCACACAGATTTCTCTTTCTCCTTCCTTTCTTCCTTATTTAAACTTGTGGAGCAGCTGAGGGTATAGCTGAGTGAAAGAGCACATACTAGACATATGTGAGGTCCTGGGTTATATCTCTAGTACCTCAAAAATAGTTGAATTAATCCTCAAAATTATATTCTCTACACTGGAGAATGTCAACTGGATTTTGCTTAATTACCAAAGACATAATTTGTGAGAAGTCACATAATAATAGCTATTCCAGGCTGTAACTAAAGTAGGAAGAATTCATTTAGGAGACTAATTGTAGCTTGCACTCTCCAAAACAAACAGATGAACATTTTCCAGAGAAATTACCTAGTAGATTTCCTATTACTTTGGTTTCTAAGTTTACAAAATATTGAAAACATTTACTGTTTCATTGTCAAGTACGTATACACGTATGTAACTCCAGAAAATGTTATTAATGTACCTCAGCCCCCTACCTGGGCTGAATTCTGGTCTTCTGCCAGCCAATCTCTGGGGTGGTTCAGAAGAAATTAAAACCACAAGATCCAGTCAGAAGTTGACATGTTTGAGCACTGACTTGACTTGGGATGGAATTAAATCACCAGAATTTATAGTCATTCTTGGCGTCAGGTGTTTATTTATTTGCACTACCTGGGATTGAGTCCATATCCTCACAAATGTTAAGCAAGCACAATACCACTGAGCTACATACCTGGACCTTTGAACTTTCTTTTATTTGAGACAGGGTCTTGTTAAGTTGCTAAGCTAGCTTCAAGCTTGCAGCCCTACTATTGCAAACTCATGAATAGCTGGGATTGCAGGAATGGGCCACTGTGCCTAGCTGGCTTCTGTAATTTAGACAGTCTTACCATCTTAAACCATCAAGACAAGGGTAGGAAAATTATAGTCAAGTGACTACTGCCACCTGTTTTTGTTATACCTGTGAACTAAGAATGTTTTTCCCATTTTAAAATGTTTGGGAAAAATTAAAAACACAATATATTGTGTCATAAAAGTCATAAGAGAAATTCAAATTTCAGTGGCCATACAGTCTTATCAAAATACAACTACTTTCATCTGTTAAGATATTGTTTATGGATGCTTTTGTGCTATAGCAGTGTTGGGTGGTTATGACAAAGATAATATGTCCTAAAAGCCAAAAATGTTCACTGTCAGTCTCTTTACAGAAAAAGCTTGCTAGCCCTTGCCTTAGAAGAAACAGCAAGAGGGTTGCCTTCAGACACTGAAACTTTGTGCATCTTCTTCAGATCGGGGCATTCCAGAGGACAAGAAAGTGAGGCAAACTCAAGGCTTGAAGACCCCCATAGTGAACCAAACATGTTTTCGAGGACTTTACCTTCTGTCAGTTAGCCATCCAAATGTGATATTGCCAATAATGTCAATCACCCCAAGTGTGGACATAAGAAAAGCAGCTTGCTGGTGACTCACTCCAACACTTAAAGCATAAGGCACCAAGTACACAAAGAGAGGGCTACAGCCGTAAGCCATAAATAGAACAGAGACGGCGAATACAACGAAGTCTGACATCAATAAAAAAATGTATTCCTGCTGCAAAGAGCAACACAGGCAGGTCTTTGCCCATTCTTTGGTCAAAGATGAATAGGGAGATGCCCGCTTACAATCTTCTTTCAGAGTTCGACAGACATGGTTTTGCTCTGGACGTGAATGTTCTTCTTTAAGAGTAATAGGCCGCATCAAGGCACCACAAACACAGAGATTCAAAACGAAGCCCCCAAGAATGAGCAATGCACCCCGCCAGGAAAACTCTTCAATAAGGAGCTGAACCACAGGAGCCAGGACAAAGGTGCCAATGCCACTCCCTGACATGGCGATCCCATAAGCAAGGGCTTTTCGTCTGCTGAAATATTTGCCAACCATGGCAATGGCTGGAGAGTAACAAAGTGCAAATCCGAGACCTGGGAGAAAGAGAACTCTGTGAGTACTGGCAACCATGAACAGCCAAGAGAAGCAAGGATCTCAGAAGGTTTGGATTAAAGAGGACCCACTCTCCCTGAAACCCTCTTAAAGCTGTTTTGTATGCCAAGCTGAAAACAGTTTCCCCTCACTAGTCATCTACAATAAGAAAAATACAGAATATATATGATTTTCTTCTTAGGAAGAAGACCTTTAAGGAAATACAACTTCTTAAATAAAATTAAAGAACCCTAAAAGTCATTATGCAAACTAAACTGAATTTGCTAGAAAAATCTGGATAAGAAATTTATTCTCCCTTTCATTTTTTGTAATGCAAATTACCCAAATAATTGCCTTAATTCTTCACTGCCTGTGAAGACACAACATTGAAAATCCGTACTGTTCAGGAATTCTGATTGAAATAGTATATACGACTCTTGGAAAGTTCCAGAATAATTTCACAAAGTTTGAACACACGATCCCAATTCAATGCATGGTCATAGTAATAACATTATCCCTTGAAATCAGAAGGAAATGTTGGATCAGAGATTTTCTAACGATTTTCAGTTTTATTGCTTTTTAAATTAAGAAAAGGGCTGGATTTGGGGGCATTTAGAATGTCAGAGCAAAGAAAGGAGAATAATTGTCAGGCCTTGTGTCCATCAGCAGTACAGGATGCTCATCAATCTCAAGTTTCCTAGAGTTCCAACGTGGGACTAAAACCAGAGTAATCCTGAGTAGACTCAGTAGAATTAGGAGGAATAGAGGCACCTTTTTTTAACTGACAGTGCCAGATTTACAGCTTTATTATGCAGTTGCATCTCTTTTTGGCCTCATTCATGCTACCCTTATGGGCACACTACCCCACCAGGAGTGGGTGCACCTCTTGGTGCCCTTCTAAGTAAGGAGCCAACTGCTACCCCAGTCCCACCAACCAACCGCATCTGGGTCCTGTGCACACCCCTTAAATATGACTTATGGGGTGCACAATGTTCTCTTTTCATGGAATTCATTATGATTCTCCAAAGAGATATTTCCACTGACACTATATAAGATTATTCACAAGAGGCTTTCTTTTTTAAATGGGAAACTCAGACTTATTTGGTTAATGATATTTATTGTAACATAAGGGCAACTCAGATTGAAAGATAGTATTATAATTTCTTGGCAAAGATATTGGGAGAATGACCACTGCTGAAAATTTATATTGTGCTAGGTTAATATCCTGCTTCTTCTGAATGCAGTCTCTTGGCCATACCCTAAGGCCAAAGGGAAAAGCAGCAGTTATTTTTATCATATGGCTAAATTAAAGTGGTGATGCATTTTCATTAAGGTAGTACAATGGCATTTCCACCCTGCTTAACTGCATGGTAAGTGGACATAAACTAGGTCCACCTAATTATGCACGTAATGAAACAAATATTTCATGATTCACTTCCCTGTTGATGTGCTCAGCAGTACCTGAGTGAGGTGCACTGAGACAGGTGGTACACGGTGTCCTTACCTGTAAGAACTCCCAGTGTGAGGTAGAGATGCTTCAGGCTGGTGGCAAATGAGCCCAGGATGAAACCAGTAGATGCAAGCAAGCCACCCAGCATGATTCCCACTTGACAGGATAAACGGTTACTGACAACACTCCCAAGTGGAGCTTCAAAAACAGTAATAAACAGGGTCAACAGAAAGGCCTTGAGGACACTTTACAAAGGCTGTGACATTACGCTGGAACAGCAGAGATCAACCTTTAAAGTAACAGCTCCATCCCTCTAATTTTACAGCTTTTGAAACTGAGACCTTGAGAGAACTGATTTGTTCATGGTCATACACAGAATGAGAAGCACAGCTGGACTAGAATTGAAATGTTCTGACTTACATTTTACTCATTCTGTTACAGTCACAATTCTGAGATTGTGAATCAACTATTTCAATTACATGTCACTTGCACAAAGATGTTTGATGGAGCACTGATCATATGTCATTAACAATAATGTTACAGTTAAATGGTAGAAAAGAAAGTGGGTAGCACGGTGTGACCAGCATAGAGGGCAAACTCAGAAAAATTCCACAATTGGGTACTGATTTCAGGTTTCAGAAGTTCCTGTAGATGAAAATGCAGAGCTCAGAAAAATCTAGGAAACATGTTTCACATGGGTGGTGACATGTCCCTTGGCCACTGTTTTGCAATTTGCCAGTGGGGTATCCAAAATTATGTTGACCTTAAGGCATATAGAAGATTAATGTAAATGGTAAGGGGCCAAACATGAGAGATACGGCAGGCCCAAGTTCACCAAGATGTACAGCTGAGGCCACCTGACACTGACGGTGGAGTTATTTCATCCTGAAGTCCTTGGGTCTTCCAGATGATGGCAGGAGTTGGTGGGGGAGGCATGTGAATTTTTTCCTAAAGAAAAACTCATGCTGACACCAGTACTTCTATGGGCAAGGTCCAAGTTGCCATTATATTTGTATCTGCCTAATCATTTTTATTGATTAGGTTGAATTTGGGGGCCAACTCAATGTACATAATGAACCCAGTCATCAGTTCAATGTCTCCTATCTTGTTAAAACAGTAGCTTAAGCAACGTCCTAGGAATGGGAATAAGCAAATTCCTGAGAATCAGTTGAATTCTCAAGGACACTACTATTACAGTTAGTGGAAAGCGACAAAATTTACATCAAAAATCAATGGAAACATTTCCACCCAATTCAGTGAATACCTTTCACTTCTCTGTTTTGTCTACAACAGATTTTACACAGTAAGTGTTCCAGATGTGATTCTGCAGTCTCTTGTCCCATATTCTAAACTCTAATGTTCTAATATTACATGATCTGGTAAGCAGTATGTGGTAATTGAGTATGAGAGGTCTCACATTCTTACATAGAATTTTATTACACTGTTCTAAAATGATCCTGCTCGAAATCTCACGTAGTCATTGTGACCATACTGGTCACTTAAGATCATCTACCTTGTTTGGGGGATTGCAAACATTCTACAGAAGCTAACAGTCAAGGAAATGAGTCACCAGTATCCTCTGAGAAAGATAAACACAGCCGCTTGGCATAATGACACAGGCACTGTGACTAATAACATGACCCTGAAAATCAACTGATTGTTGAAGAAATGAAAAACAAACTGGGCTACAAAACCCAAAGATGTGATTTTGTTATCCCTTCAGTTCTTCTAATCATTGAAAAAGTCAACTTAGCCTTCTCATGAAATCTGCTCCCAGTAGTGGAATTGCTGTCTTAATTTCTCTCAACCAAAGAAATGCATTTCAGCACAATTCAACAGATTCTTCAGTGTGTACATTCTTTTTTCTAAAACTAAATATGAGTCAGTACAAAGAATGGAATGGAGGTAGAAGGTAGAGCAAGGACAAGTAAACAAAAGCCATGGGACAAGAATCAAACCAGACAAAGCAGAGACAATAATATCTAAATATCAGAAAACAAATAGATAAAAGTCATCCTATCACTGCCAAGAGCCTGGGTATGCACAAACCCAGGAGTATATAATCCTGGCCTTTATCTAACCTCATTTGCACCCCAGTTTTGACCTTCCCATAGTGGTGATTGGATACCATGACACTTCCTCTAAAAACTCAGTATGATCAAAAAGTCCTCTTCCCACCAGGTAGGCTGAGTCAGGTACCTGTTGCGCCAGGACCCCTGTAACAGCCGTTATAGTTCCTCCTATAATCCAACATCTTAAGAGACCCAGTACCAGCTCCTATCAGGCCCATGAACTCTTTTTCACTGAGTATCCTGCTCAATTCTTTGGTACATCAAGAACCTAGACACGATACTACCAGAATCCCTTTATCCAATAACACATAATCAGGTGAAGTTATTATAGGTTACTGAACAATGAAGCATTTCTCTCTGCAACTGAAATGAGGCCTGAAGAGATGAAAATTTCCTGAATACTTCAGATTTATCTAAATGAAAGGATTATGTGAATCTACGCTGCAGGCTGATTGTTCCAATATAATCTAACCTCATAAACTCTAAGAAATCAATTTAATAACTTTGGTTTGAAATTTATTTTTAAAATATCAAAGTTCATCTTCTTCTACTATATAGAGAAGTATTGGTTTCCATCCCCTGAAGAGCAACTTTGAGATTTCTTGGATAAAATTATAGCCACAGTGAATACATTTGGCTCCTGATCAAACAATTTGCCCTCCTCCAGTGCTGCTCCAAGTATTTATGCATATAAAAATGAAATCTGTGAGGGACTGGGAATTTAGCTCAGTGGTTCCACCGCCTGCATTGCAAGTACAAGGTCCGAGTTTGATCCCTGGTACCAATAAAAACAAAAATGAAATCTGTGAGCCAAATTTTGAACCATCCAGGAATCCAAGACTTGAGATGTGATGTGACACTGCTGGAATTTGAGGAGAGTCTGTAGAAAGGGCACCTGGTGCTCTCCAATTATTGTTTATGTAATTGGATGATGAGGAAGCATTTGAAAGACAGAAGCCAAGCATATATATGGGGTAAACTGCTCCCCAAATCAAGACAGGTTCTATGATGTTCAGCGTATGTCCTTTTCAGTGTATAAATGACCTCTTCCATTTGACATCAACCAAGGCCATTAATTTTAAGACTGGTTAAGCTTGGCTCTTTTCTTGATATATACATTGATCTTTTCATATTGTTTTAACCAACTTTTAACACAGGCCTTTCACTTAGGTAAACTGGGAATGAAAGCCATTTGACCTCAGGGAAGGTCATGTTTATGTACAGTTCAAGAGTAACCAGTAATTGTCTGTTCTTGTAATACTCACCACAGAGCATGGTCACACAATCTACAATGGAATGGATCCATGCTGTTTGTGCATAATCCTGACCAAAATATGTCTGGAACTCCACAAAAAAGATTGAGATACATCTGAAAAACACAATGTGGGCATTTGATACAAAAGGTGAATGAGCACGGTATTAAAACAGAACTTACAGTCTGGGTATTTTATTCAGCGGTACCCCACCTGCCTCTCAAGCACAAGGTTCTGAGTTTGATCCCTGGAACCAAAAAGGAAAGAAACAGAACTTAAAAGTTTTTATTCAATCATCTGCCCATTGTCTAAGGGTTCTAAGTACTGGGCCATAATAAGTGGGAAATTAGAGGCTATTTGGATCATTCTGAGGCAGAGAAGAACAAGAGTTCAACTTCAGAGGGGCTGCTGAATCCAAAAAGGTATGAAGACCATTGCTCTGGAGAAGGTTTTATATAAGGCCAAAAACATGGTTTATTACTCATCCTGGTATTTTGATAATAAATCTATAAATTCTAAAAGGTGTCTGTACAACTCATAATTTAAAAAGTAAAGAACAATTTACAAAAACAATTCCCTTCCAGAATTTATACGAAAGTAAAAATCATATGATGTTGATAAATAAAGCGATATATCCTAGGGAACTATTTATTGTAGTCAAATATTATAACTAACCAAAATGTATAGGACTTGTTAAGCAAATCATAGCATATAATAAAATGTAAGGCTTTATCATTATTATTATTATCATTATTTTTTGGTACCAGGGATTAAACTCAGTACCTTGTGCTTTCAAGGTAGGCAGTGGCACCACTGAAATATATCCCCAGGGTAAGGCTTTACGTACTGATTTGGAAATAAATTTGCAAGATAATATTAAATTAAAAAGTAAGCTACAAAATAGTTCATAGAGTAAGAACTTATTTTTATGTGAAAACAGTTCATGTAAATAGAAAAAGCCTGAAAATATGCACACCACAATTCACTCAACCATTTTATTTGAATGGTGGGATATAAATGATCATTCTTGCTTTATTATACATTTTTAATTATTTCATAATGAGCATTATGTTTTATATGATCAAAAGACTGTGCATGTGTGTGCACATGTGTGTGTGCACTCATGTGTAGTGAGAGAAAAATATTCATATTGAAAAATAGTTAATTACCTAGGGAAAAGAAGCCATAAGCGAGGCACAGGCAATAGTTTGCATCATGATACAAGTGAGAAGGAGCCACATAAAGGTGGATGTAGTAACCCAATGCAGAGCCTGATGCTTTCAGACCTCTCTGTTAGCAAGGAAAGGACTTGGGCCCTATGATTTGAGGATGAGAAGTTACCCATCTCTGGATAGGTCTAACTTCCAACTCATCACAAGTGCTTCAGCAGCCCAGTCACCATTGTTTTCACTCTCTCCCTCCTCCCCAGTTGCTGCTGGGTGTGAAGGTGGGTGGAGGAGAGCTCACAGGAGAAGGAAGAGAACCAGGTAGAATCAGAACAGCTGGGTTAGCTGAGGTGTGTTTCCTGGGCACACAACCTATTCAGATGCATACAGCCTGGCACTCAGAAGCATGAAATGAGTCAATGTTTAGCTGACACTGATTTACAATTCCTAAGAATTTTACCTTTGGACTTGGGTTGTGTAAGTGAAATCCAGTGGAACTATGAGGCTGTGTGCAAGCAGAGGAGATACATGTGCTTTCTATGAGTGTCTGCTCTAGGCTGCTCCACTCACATGTAGCACTAAAAATGCCCACCCCAAAGCACCCAATTACAGTGGACCCATGATCCAAGGGAGGTGAGTAAGACTTAGAGTTAGCATAAGATGTGTAGCCACAAGTGGGCCACCATGCAGGAGCAAGAAAGTTCTAACATCCCAAAGAAAGGCCATGTTTCCATTCTGAGCCAAAACTTGCTCTAAATGCAGGAACAGGCAAAAGTGTTTTAGAAACCACATAGGAACAAGCACTCCTACCACATCGTTTCCTTTATTAGCCAACCACTTTGGTGGAAAATGATGTGGAAAGAAGAGAAAAGAGGGCCACTTTCTTCTGTTCAGTCCTCCTTTACTTAGACATTAGTTAAAGAAAAGAGAATATCAGTGGGATATTCAAGTACCAAAAAGTAAATAAAAGCAGTTGAGTAAGCTTTGTGTAGGATTCCCACAGTTAGGGTAAAAACAAACTATGCATGCATACATAAGCTACAAAATATGAGCCGTAAAGCTTCAGTGATTCTATGTGAGTTCAGTACTCATATATGCATTTAAAACTGGCATTACATAAAATAAAGATGGATGGAAAATTGATTCTCATAATTTAATATTCTTATTTTCTTCCCCTAGAACACTAAATAGCAAATTAAAACACTACAAAAATTGAGGGACCACTGAAGTAAGAAAAAGCTTTCTATTTTGATAACTTTTATAGGCACTTTTTTCTGCTTTTTAAACAAGGGCCCCTGGAATTTCATCTTGCACTGGTCCCTAGTGAGTAGTAAGGGAAGCTGAACTTGAAGTCCCAGCAGACACTGGCATGGAGCCTAACACGTAGGCTACACAATGATGACCCACAACTGCAGACAGCACGGGAAAGATTCAGGACTAGAGAAAGGGAGAGGAATGAGAACGAATCTCAGACTGTAATGCCAGCCTGCTGACAAACACACAGCCACTCCCAAATGAAATACTGCAATGGTCTAGCCTTTTCTGTATCCTACTCCATCAGCCACTAGATGTGGGTCCCCCCTCGCAGAGCACTCTCTTGGGAGAGGCAGATTCCTGCAGATGAGGGAGACCCTAGAACATGACAGCCACAGGTGGGTTGCTGAGGCCATCTGAAAGGCACGTCTCTGCACTTACCATGGTCCTGTTCTTGTTCCCCCAACTGAACACTGGTATAATTACCTCTGTCAAGGGGACATAAAGAGTAATCTTTTCCACCCAGTAACTTGAGAAGCCAGATTACATGTTACAGTAGGTCTGATGCTAGGTTAATAATTATGTCAGGACCTGGAATACTGAAACCTTGTCACCCTCTGTAACACAGAAAATGGATCATAAACTACCTGGATAATTGTAAGAATTCCAATTTGATGAAAATCACACAGAGCTTTTTAAAAGCATGAATTAACTGCAACAACCTTAGAGTAGTTTTGATTTAGCTTAACAACAAAAACAAGAACCTTCTGCCCGGTGCTAATTCCTTTCTTTCCTTCCTTTCCTAGCTAAGTATTAATCTCAAGAAAATCTCCTAATAAAGCTGGATGTGGTTGCTCATACCTGTAATCCCAGCACTCTGGGAGACTGAGGCAGAAGGATCACAAAATTCAGCCCCAGTTTAGGCAATTTAGTGACTTAGTGAGGCCATGTCTCAAAAGACAAAACAAAACCTAAAAAAATGTATACACACTAAAAACAAGAGCAAAAGCTTTATGATATCTCTGAATCTCCTAAAGATTACTAATCGAGTACTATGATGTCTATTGTTTTCTCCTACTCACTGGGTGTTCTGTCTAAATGAGTTATCAAATTATTATCGAAATAGTTCAGTTGTCCTTAGCTTAGGATTTCTCGGAAGAAGCACTATTGACATTCCGGGCCACACAATTCTTTGTTGTGGGCGTGATCCTGTGCATTATAGGATGTTTAGCGAAATTGTTGGCCTCTGCCCAGAATATTTCTGCCTGGCTATCCCCTGGAAACCAAAACCAGAGTGGAATCAATCACCAGGTTCTATTTATTCTACCTCTTAGGGGACAGCTCCTGTATTCCTCCATATATCTCCATCCCCGTTATCACCATAACTCATGCCAGTATCTCTTCCCTAGACTGTAGCCCAGAGTTTCCTAATTGGTCTTACTGAATTCATACTTGGCTGCCTTTAGTACCTTCTACACTCAGGAAAGGTGTACTTCCTACTTCTTTCAACACCCACCCATAATTATTTTTACACGTCTAATTCTTTTTCTTTCTTTTCTAAATCGTTCACCCAATAACCTCTATTTATTTATTTATTTATTTATTTATTTATTTATTTATTTATTGTCTCAAAACAACAGTCCACTCCTCCAAGAAGGCTTCCGTGAGTAACCGTGACAATCTACAACCAGGATCGATGCCTCTCTTATGTGTTTCTACTACAAGCTGGACATCTGCCACATTTTTTCCCTTTGCATTTGTTTGTGTTCTCCATGAGACTATAGCTTTGTGACAGCAGACACATCTGTCTTATTTCACATTGAATCGCACAGATCTAGTGCAGTCCTTGTTATGTACTGGGTACTCATACTATTGTTCAAGGAAGGAAGAAACAGGTGAAGGAAGGATTAGACTGGGTAGAGGAAGTGACTAGAATATAAAGAAGTAAAAATAGTTGAACCATAAATTCAAGAACTATGAATGAATAAGGGAAGGCTGGATGGCAGCACTGTACAGGGACATGTGCTAGATGAGGTAAAATAGGATATGAAGAATCTGAGTATGATATGGGCAGAGAGAAAGAATCACCATGAAGGAGATGCAGAAGCTGAGATGGAAGAAAACAGAAGATCTATGAAAAAATGGTCCCAGATTAAAAGATATTGGGGGAAATTTAATACTCTGTTTTGGGCAACTTAGTGTGACTATATTTGTGTCTTGTAATGTTTTTTATATCTCCTTTTGTTTGCTTGCTGGTTTTCTTAAGTTACAAGCATTAAGTAGGTAAGAATCAAGGGTATGTAAGATCCTTGTCTAAACATGTGAGCACTTTTGACAGAAATAAAAATTTTAATAACCACATCCATGTGCTTGAATGATGTAACTGTAATGACATGTGAGAAGAATTTGGTATCGGTTATTATATTCTCAAAGAGAAAAGGACCACAGAACCTTTCAACTATTAAAATTTATGCTTTTTACATGCAGGCACAATTTTGAAGAAATCAGATTTTATTAAGGAATGTGTGCTTCTCACTCTGACAACTGTGCTGTTGTTCTTGGGAATATTTGTACAATTACCCAAGTCAGGAGAGCAGGGTTCTGATCTCAGAGGCTTTCATTGAACGAGAGTTTTTGACATAGCATCTTAATCTTTCAGGGTCTCGGTTTCCTTGCCTATAAGATAAGCATCTAGCATTTGATAGGTTTTATTTAGAGAAAAGTAGAAACAAAATATCACCAGTGTCACCAGTTACAAAACAGCTTTCTCAAAGGCATTTTCTGTCAAGGGGTCTACTGACTCAATCTTCCAATTCTGCTGTAAAATTCTGTGCAGGATCTTGTAGAGTTGGGCGATGAAAACATCTGGAACTTGATAAGGATTTTTATTTGGTGGATGAAACCATTAAGTCAGGTCAGGAATTGATTTATGAGGCCATGTAGCCCAGTGCTTCCACTTACTAAGCATGGGCCTTAAACATGTTATTCAATCTCTGTATGTTGTGAAAATTAAATAACTTAATCAATGAAAAATATTTGAAGACATGCCAACAAGTACAAGTGTTCAGTTTATGTCAGGAATTATTTATAGAATATTAACTATTGTTAAGAATTCAAAAGTCCCACAGTTCCAAAGAACTAGAGGCCCTTATTGCAAGTAATTTGGATCCAGAGACTTAGAGAAAAATCAGTCTTGGATGTAGGTGATTTAGTTTGGTGTGGGTTTTTTGTGGGGAGGGGACATTTAAATCAAATTTTGCTTCAGTAATCAACCCATTTAAATGATTAACTACTGCATAGGATGTCATGAAGTACATATTACACATTAACTGTATTCTTGACATAGATAATGTATTTGCTAAAAGGATGTCCCAAAGAAAAAATAAGTAATCAATACATACTAATAAGCAGAGGAAGTAAATAATAACGACTGTCTTAATACACTACACAACTTTAAGCACTATGTAAAATTTGTGTGATGGAAAGCAGGAGCTGAAATACTATTTTACAATGACTTGGGTCATAACAACAGCATTGTTTGCAACAGCAAGAACCAAGAAAAAGTAAAAATATCCATCAATGAAAATGTGTGAAATAAAGGTAGACAGAGCCACATGGTACAAGTTTGTTTAGATGGGAGGCTCACTATTTTTTTCAGGCTAGTTCCAAATTTGTAGGCTGAAGTGATCCTCCTATGATATGGTCGAATTTTAAGCAGCTATTTTTCAGTGAGTTAAAGCCAGGTATGCTGATAAAGAAAGACTTCCAAGAGATATTATGTGGGAGAAAAATCTCAAGCCAGTGTATATAATATGAGTCCATTAATGTAGCTAAAAGAATATGTTTTTATGTTAATATAAGGTTGAGGACTTTGTTTTGTTTTCATTTTTGGACTGATCCTAAGAAACTATTCACAAGGTTAACTTTAGGCAGTGAAACTGGAATTTGAGAAATCAGGAGGAAAAGACTTATTTTATATATTTCAAATTATCTGAATTTACCTCCTGAATGCATGATATTTAAGCACACTTTTAAATAGAAAGAAAGAGCTGATTCCACAATAGGCATTGATTATCTGATTGAATAAATTACCCTAGAGCTGTTTTCCATGTGTATTATCATCTCCATCCCTCCTAGCTGCTTTAGCATTCATTACATTTGGGTTCCAAAGCATCATCACACTTTTCTCATCTATCTTTATCCAGCATTAATGCCCTCCTGTCCACATCTCCTGATATCTTTTAATAATAGGTCTTTGTTGTCAGTCACAACTTTTTTTTCTGATTTCCATCAAAATCCCTAGCAATTCAGGAGAGGAGGCTACTCACCATGACCACAAAGCCAGTAATAGATGAAGTGCATGGCCATCTGTTGGCCATACCAATTGTTTTGTTTTGTTTTGTTTTTTGAGACAGAATCTCACTGTGCAGTTCAGGCTGCCCTTGAACTCACTATATAGCCTAGGCTGACCTGGAGCTCATGGCAATCTTCCTGCCTCAGCCTCCTAAGTGCTGAGAGTACAGAAATGAGACACCACGCCCACCTCCCAACTGTTATTGAAAGATAATTGAAATACAATGCCCTGCCAAACAAGACAAGCCATATAAGATATTGATGAGCATGAAAGACCTTCAGTCAATTAGTCTCCCTGATGTAAGTCCTTAATTTTCTACAAAAAAACACAAAACAATAACAAAAACAAAAAAAACCCACAGGGAAGAAATTTCTCCTCTAGCGAACTAATTGGGTCATTTTCCATGTTATGCCATATATGACAGATTTAAATATTTTGTGTTAATACTGGGGGAGATGGAGAGTAAAAAGTAATATATATCATATTCTTTCACATCTTCTAGAGCTGCATATAAAAACAAATGGCTGGAATGGCCAAAACATTTGGTCTAAAAAATATCTGAGCACATAGCAGATATTAGTAGACAGAGAGTACTATCCAGGACCCTTGAGTACCAGAACTTGCAAATGAAAAGATATCTGAATAGTCAAAGGAAACAAAGTTAAAACAAGCCAGCTCATTTTAATAAATCAATAAATTAATAAATCACCACCTACCTGGTGACTGCCCGGGTGCAGATGGTAACAAGAAAACAGCCAGCCACAATCATCCAGCCCCAGCCTCCATCCGGAGGGGAGGTGGACCCAGCTCTATTTCCTTTTGCCATGGTTTCAATTGTTCTACTTCTTCTTTTCCAAGTTATTCCAACAGCGAGTTATGATCTTGGAAGTGTCTGCTGCCCAGTGTCTTCCTTTTAGCATTCAAGGTTGGCATAGAATGCTACCTGGTACATGAGTTATTGGCCATCTAAAACCAAAAATGTGGACATATTTGTATTTTATTGTCATGTCCAAAGATGAATTTTTTTTCACTTGGGATGAATTGATTATTAGTTCCCTATTAATATGATTATTTGTTACCAAACAGGAGCGTGACCTGTGACTTGATTCTAACTGACAACACAGCCCAGGCAAAGGGACATGACCCCCATGATCATGTAAAGGTATATAATACTCAGTCCTGCTACTCTCCCTTTCCCAAGGGCCTTGAAGAAAAACTGTCATGCTACACCTTGCCTGTGCAGAGGGCTACTCCGCAGGGGGCTGTGGGCAACCTGTGGGAACTGGTTGCATCCTCTGACCATGAAAAAGAAGTAGAAAGTATCAAGAAGTGATATGCACATGTACCAATTCCCCACAATGAATAGATCTATTATATTGTGCAAACATAAATTCTTTTATAAGTGGGCAAAAAGAATATCCCTTAACAAGAAAACAAAAAGTAAACTCTCAAGGTATTTTTTTTTCTCCCAATATCCCAAGTGAGCTTAGAAGCAACTTTCTCCTTAGTTGCCCCTCCAGTTAAGCATAGAGTCTGGCTAACACCCCCACTGCAGGCTTGTGAGGCTGGCAGCCAAGGACCCTGCTATACTGTGACTCGATTCTGGTGCCCTAGAAGTTACAAGATAAACTGTTCCACACAGTATTCCTCAACATGTTAAATGCCCTTCTTACTTATAGTTAAGGGCACCTTTTTAAGGGGCAAAAATTGAGTTTTGACTAATACTTTTTCTTCTCTATGGAGCAAGTAACCCAGTTGTTGATACAATTTTATTGAGTGCCAGAAGAAATCTCAACATTCATTAATGAAACATCACCTCAAGTATGACAAAGTGTGTATTGTCAGGGGAGCGTAGGTTATGTGCTACCATTTTACTATGTAAGTTACAGGCAAACCAAACTAATTAGCTATGTGTTAAATACCACAGCTTTCTTAAGAAAATGGCTCTCAATGGATTTTACAAAATTGAAACCCTGGACTCACTCAGTTGCCTACAAGTTCAGAGCACAAATAACAGTGAGGCCAAGGCTGTGACAGCGATTGCCATGTAGTATAAATCCATAGTCTCCCTCTTCACCTCATTGGTCATCCTAAGAATTGGGGTTACTGGCAAAGGAGAGCAAGTGGACAACTGAGGATGTCCATCAAAAGCACTGGAAGATCAATACTGATACAACACTAAACCTGATTTGATAAAATAAAATTATTATTGTAGGAAAATGGGTGCACCCTAAGACCATAACTTAGGGGAAGTAAATCAGACACACAAGCTTAAATACCACATGGTTTGTTTTATACGAGAAACCCAAAGTATAAAGTGTAGAACAAAAGACAGACAACAGGAAAAAAAACAGAAAATAAATGTTATCTGATTCCAACACAGCCAAGGTATCTAAAAGTATGCATTACTTTAGTATAATTGTTTTATGTGTTTTATATGTTTTTTGATCTGTTAGTCTGTTTTTGGGGGGTGCTGGAGATCAAACTCGGGTCCTTGCGCTCGCGAAGCAGGCAGTGGCACCACTGAGCTAAATCCCCCTTAAGGTCACCCTCAGTGAAGGTTCATGAAGTGATCCTGTTTATTAGTAGAAAACTTGCACATTTCATACATCAGTCAGTAAGCAGCTATATAAAAGGGAGGGGTGTGACACCAGAAACACCTCTTCTGGCTTTCCATTGATTGTTCTTTCCTTTCTTTCCTCTTCCCGAGGACTTAACCGTTCACAGTGCTTCTACCTTCTAAGTTAGTGTGAAGCCACGAAAGAGGTAAAGGAATGTCTGAGAAGAAAATATTAAGAATAGGAATCAAGACAGCTGGGTCCAAGTAAGCCTACAAGGAGTGGTCAGAAACTATCGTATTTGCACTTTTAAAAAATTCTTATAGTAAAAGGCACTGTGCCATTAACCTGCCTCAAAATACTCCTGAGCCTTCCTTTGAACACATTTATCCCATCATCCCTATCCCTTTCTAAAGCAGCTCTGGAAGTCTTCTTTCGGGAGTGTCTTTAGTTGCGCTGTCTTGGCTCCCTCTATATCCTAAATCAATTTGAGTTGTGTACTTTCATGGTCATTTTGACTTTGGGAAAGAGCCAGAGGTCTCACTGTGTCAAAGGAGGTGAATAAGGTGAATGGGGACGCACTAATGTTTTTACAAACCTGCCTTCCCATCTGAGGGCACTTGGCAGCAGCATTCACGGGTTTTTTAAATTACCTCTTGTAAAGACACAAAAGAAGACTTCAAGAACTGCTTCACAAAGTGAGAACGATGATGGGATAAGTGTGATAAAAGCAAGGGGCGGTATTTTGAGAGGAATTTATGGCAACACATCTTTTTTATTAAGTTTTTAAATACTTGCATATTTTAATCACCCCTGTATTTTGTGCTATGTGAGTCAATTTGTCTCCTTCAGTATTTTCTGATTTATAAAACCTGGGCACTGCATTATGGACATCTGTCCTCTAAACCATGTGACTAATTAATAAGTGTGTGTTTCCTATTATATAAATTAATAAATTTTAATTCACTTTACTCTTTATTACTCAAGAATCATAAAATTTGACCCTCCCCCAAATTTCTAAAATTTTCCTTGTGTGTGTGTACATATATATATATATAGAGAGAGAGAGAGAGAGAGAGAGAGAGAGAGAGAGAGAGAGAGTGTGTGTGCGTGTGTGTGTGTGTGGTTTTTTTGATAGGGTCCCACCATGTAGTTATAGTGACCTGGAACTCACTATGTAGCCCAAGCTGGTCTTGACCTCACAGCAATCCTCCTGCCTCAGCCTCCGAGTGCTGGGATCACAGGGGTGCGCCAACCACACCCTGCCTCACATAATATTTTTGAAATATCTTCTAATGTAGTGTCTTTTGTTGGTAAACTAGTCTCTGTTTCTTCTGTCATTAAAGCTAAGCCAAGAGGCTCATAGATGTTGGGAATGAGAAGATAGTTCCCATGTAGGATAAATACACCCAGAGGTGAATAATCAGGGGACTGTGTTGAAGAGGAAGCTATCACCACACAGAAAGGGGAAGGAGAAGCCCACCCAGAGAGGAAAGTGAAAGGGGTCCCCAACACCCGGGCCACAGACCAATACAGTCTGTGACCTGTTAAGAACCAGGCTGCACAACAGGAGGTGAGCAACTGGCCAGCAAGGAAGCTTTCATACATACTTGCAGCCACTCCTCTTTGCTCCCTGAGCTCCAGCTCTTCCCAGATCAGCAGCAGCCTTACATTCTCATAGGAATCCAATCCCTAATGTGGCCTGCACATCTGAAGGATGGGCATATGGTTCCAGTCCTTATGATAATCTAATCCTGAAACTATGCCCCCCTATACACTCCCAGTCTGTGGGAAAATCGTCTTCCACAAAACCAAAAATGTGGGGGACTTCTGTGTTAAAGAAAGAGTGATAAGTTGCCCAATTTCTCAAGGACAAGTATTTTTTCTCCTTGAGTCTTGATCAAGGACAGGTATGTGGTACGAGGGAGAGAGCTCCCCTCAAATGTCTAAGTTGAGGAGGAAGGTATACTAAGGAGACCATAGACTACTATGGGAAGACACAACTTCACCAGGAACCCTATGATTTGTCCGGGCAGAGAGAAAGCCAGAGATAGTGCTCACTGTCACTCACCTCCCATGTGGCACAGCAACGATTCAGACATTCTCCCATGTTCCCCTCGAAGACACAGAAAAGAAATAAGAGATAAGACACCGGACTGGGACAAAGAGGAAGGTAATTCTATGACAAATATTTCTGAGCCAAATGGAAATTATGGCAGATCTTTAAGAAGAACTATAAAAAGGAAAGCAGGGCATTTCTCCCAGCTTTGTTCATACACAGTGCAAACCATAAATTCCACCAGCAGAAGGCAATTCAGCACAGTACGTAATGAGGACAGAAACCAAGACCTAGACATCAGTGATGTGAGTTTCCCTTTTCATGAAGGCCCAGTAGACCAGCAGGGTGTCCAGCACCAATACTAGAGAAACTTTACATGGGCTTATAAGAACTCAGAGAAAAACCAGGTAGTTGTACAATAACTACCTCATCCATCATCACCACAAGGAGACAGGCATTGTCCCTGAAACAAGACACTTATCAAGAGAGGAGGAAAAACAACCCCTTACAAAGAAAATAGTCATGGATTTAGCTTAAAAATATACCCACCAAAAAAAACCCCAAAACAAAAAAACCCTGAGCGTGGCTGAGAAGGATCAAATTTGCAGACAGCTACAGACTTTTAAAATTGAGGAATAATTTACATAAAATGAAGTACATTGGTTTAAGTCTATATATCAAACATTTGAAAAATGTATAAACTCATATAACAGTGACTATAATCAAGACACGGAACATTTTCATCATCCCCAAATTTTTATTCATGTTCCACTGTAGCCAACATTCACCCAGCATCTGACTACGACTGATTTGTTTTCTTGCAACATGGATTAGTTGTTCCTGTCAGCAATTTCACAGGCATGGAATTACACTGCTTCTGCCTTCCTTTGCTCATGATTGTGTGTGTCATGTGTGTGTGCACGTGCTGGGAATTGTGCCCAGGGTCTCACCCCCACTAGGCTCACACTCTCACAGTCTGCTACTGAACTACACCTCCAGCTCCTCATGATGATTTCAGATTCGTCTGGCTTGTTCTATGAATTTGCAGTTGACTCTTTTCTGTTGCTGAGTAGTAGTCTATGTGATGGTTATGCTATGATTTGTTTATTTATCTATTGCTGGATAGCAGGGTTGTTTCCCCTACTAATAGTTTTTGACCATTAGGAATAAAATATCTGTCAACAGCTGTGTACAGGACATTTTGTGGACATACATTTTATTCTTTTAACATCTAGGGATGAACTTGCTGAGTCATTTGAAAAGTGTATATTTGACTAGAAGAAGCTGCCTAACTTTTTTCAGGTGGTTGGATGATAAACCCAGTAATACTGTTCCAGTTGTTCTTACAC